ACCATCATTAAATGCGATGATCAATTTGCATGTTTGATACACGTCTGTCCTAACATCCTTTTTTTTTTTGCATTGAACAGTTACTGCTCTCGATTGTGCAAATGCAGAGGGTGCCTTACTTCCTTTGCCTAAGATTCCTGATCAGGTTGGTGTCGAGCATGGAGTTAAGCCCACAGTGAGCAAAGGTATCACCTAACATTGCACCAATTTTTATGATATCTTGGTTTTTTTGGGCACTATTTTTTGGTTTTTGTGTGTGTGTATTTCGAACTTGTTGTGGTTGCGTATCTTGAATTCAAGGCACATTGCCATTCCCTAAGAGGAAGAATCTTATAGATTAGAACTGCTGATAAAACTGGTTACTCCATGCCAGAATTGTTCCTAGGTTTGTAAACAGCACTCATTTGAGATTCTCTTCTGCTCTCAGATCCCTGCTTTATTCGGGTTAATCGTCATATTGAGACTTGTGATCCATGATCTGACTAGTGCTTTTGCACTGAATATTTAATTTGTCAACTCAAATGTGCGAGAGGAACTTTCTTCACTTTTCATCAGTACTTTGCTACTACTTCCGTTTCAATTTGTTTGTCTTAGTTTGACTTGACACAAAGTTTAATAAAGAGAGGAAAACTTTTGAAACTTGTGGTCTTAAATATGCCATAACATTTTGGCTATAAAACTTTTGACCCTTGTGGTCTTAAACAAGCCATAACATTTGTGTGGCTATAAAAGCTTCCCATTAAGGAAATATAGCAATGTGCCAATCTTTTTGAAACAGAGGGAGTACTAGTGAAGAGTAAGTTATGTGACCTTAGATGAGATTTTGTTAGTAGAACTCGGAAGTTTTCGTCGCTAACTATAGTTCTCATCCCGAGTTTTATGGACTGTTAGAATATTGTCTCAATTAACTTTTTTGTCTTTATCCTTTTATCTCGAGAATAAATTAGACATGTTACCTAAATGCTTACTACTTAACGCGGAAGCTTTTGCTTTGCTATTTGCAGATGTCATTGGAAAACAAGATGAAGATGAGGTCACAATTTGCATGGAGGACCAGTTAAGATCCATAGGTATAATGCAGTGACTATGATCTCTCGCCTAGCTCAATTCTTGATCCTAAGATTTTGAAAGGAATAAGTGTTGATGCTAGTATGCCACCGAAGAAGGTCTGCATCTCTTGGAATACTCAGGATACTTTTGGGTCTGATTTGCTCACTTTTTATGTTACCATATCTTCAATAATTTGTTTTAACTGTATTCATTGAACGCAGATGAAATCAGCTGTTTTATCTCTGGAATCACCTGATGCTTACAACTTATTGAATGCCTTGGTGGCTGCATGGCAGTCCAGGTGGGTTCTTCAAATCCTCGAAGGAGATTGCACGTATCAACTCCATATTGTACCTCAAGAGTGGAGATGCACTGCATCCTCCCACTTAAGGGGAAAAAAGAAATGCATTACAAAAATTGGTACTCTATTTTGAGTTAAGTCCCTAAAATAATGGCCTGGTTCAGTTCTTGGATGTGAAAACTAATTCCACAGACTGTTCTTGGACATTAGTCATTAGAATTTTTGAGATAAAATTGAAAGATCTTGAAACTACTTGAAAACTATGTTGCGCGGACTTTCCAAAATGCTGCCGCACTCGTGTCGGATCCTCCAAAAATACGCTACTTTTGGAGGATCCGACATGTACCCGGCGAAATTTTCAAAGTTTCCGAGCAACATAGCTTGAAAATACTACCAACAAGTAGCCCCAGGGCTTTGATCTAGTGATAAGTGGCAGTGCGTGATGTGTAGGTTAGGCACACCTCCCGTGTTCGAACCCGGCGCTGACAAAAGCCTGGTGTTTTAGTGAAAAAGGGCAGAGGGAGCTTGGTAAAGTGAAGAAGGGTAAGGGTGGGCCCATTATTCACCGACTTTTGGCAGCACCTGCCCTTTGGGGATTTCTCGATTAGGTTAGGATTTGGGAATTCATATTGGAAAATTTTCATCCTCCTGAAACTCTCTAAAATAGCTAATTTTTTCTGTATCAACATCATTAAACATAACGTCGCAGTACTAATCATTGCCCCAATTCGAGATACATTTGGAAATTCATAGCAGAATTTGCCCTCCTTTAACTCTGCAAAAAGGCTAGTTATTGCTTTATTTGGCAGAACGAATGATTGCACCAGTTGGAAACCTTTTAGTTATTGATAGCTAAATCTTTATGCATATCATAATTCTTTTTTTCGTTTTGCATGTATTTTCTTTTTTGTAGATCAAGTATGGGAAGACATGTTCTTCCATGGGTATACTGTATATTGGTGAACCACAATGAATTTGTTACATCGCAGGAACCACTGACTCCTCTTCTGGATTCCTTGAACAAGGTAGGATATGCTGCCACTATGCTACTGTTGCTTGGCAATTATGTGATTATTTTGGGGATGCCAAGTTATTGATGGTTTCATGCTTTTTATAATCTTGTTTCTGATTGATCTTTTTGATTAGTTACATGTATGTTTCGCACTCTTTTTCTGATTGATCTTTTTGATAAATTATTTCCTTTTGTTTTCTCAACTTAATGTGATGAGTGTTATTCTGTTCCATATCAAAGGGACACAGTTTTCCAGATGGTATGTTATGAAGGAGGAAGGTTTCACAGCTATGCTAAGTTATGGAAAAAGTCTGTCAAGGACAAAGCTAATAACTAATCTTTCATTGGGATGCCGATGACTGTTCCATGCCAAAAATTATAGTATCACACACATTTATACGAAGAATATTGGTTATTGTGTGTGTAGAGGAGGTTGCCCATGATCATGGCTGTAGTAAAAATTGTGATGATGGCAGGATCATGGTGTTCCTCATATATATTACATGATTTGGGAAGAGTGTTGGATTGAGGTACAGATGAGGAACAGCATAATCCTGGTCACCAGGGTTTTACAAGGGTGTGGCATATTGATCAATGAAGTGGGTGCAAACCCTGGTGACCAGGTTCAAATTCCAGTAGAGATAAAGACTCGAAATAATATTTGTCGATAGCTTTGGTTTCAAAAATTTGAAATGATATTTGGAGATTATCTCAAATAACGATTTGTTCATTAAACTGGCTCATTATTTCAACTTCAAACTTGAAATATGGAACTTGAAGTTTGAAAAACAGGCTTTAAGATTTGTTTCAAGTTTTCATCCACATAACTTCAATTTGTACGTTCATGTCCAAACACAACTTCAATTCCCAAATACCCTTTTCAACTTAATTTCAAATATCAACCAATTCATGTCCAAACGCCTACTTAGGTGATTTCTTTCGATTTGTGGAAGACTGGGTGGGTAAAGTTACTCACCGATACCTGTGGTGGGAGGTTGCAGCTAACTTGTGGTATAGTGAGTCCACAAGCTGGCCTAGATATCACTATTATTTTAAGAAAAAAGGAAATGCTCACACCCATGCTACCCGTCCATATAATCTAGGTAAACAAAGAGTCCAGGCAATACACTGCCTTATGGAGCTCCATTTTTTCTCGATACTGCAGTTTATTTTAGTACGGCAAAACCTGCATATTTGTGCAAGGAAACATATTCCCTCCATTGATTAACGGAGAAAGTGCCTTATGTAAGTTGATTATTTTACTTATATTTTGTAACCTAAGTTGAAGACTCATTCTTGCAGTCTTTTTTTTTTTGCGATAAGTAATTGGAGAGTAGTATTATATCAGAAAAACCAGCATGGAGAAAGTGCTGGTTGGCATGTACAACCCAATTACAAGCTGTGCAGATTACTCATAGAATATATCATAGCTTCTACGTCATTAACATTGATTCTAGCCATGTTACACCAAAAAAGGAGCAAAGAGATTCATGCTTAAGGCTAACTATGTTCCTCCTCTGTCTTAAAAAATCTTGCAAGTATCTTACAAAGCTCCCTCCTTCCTCCACAGGGGTGGTTAGCGGGGACATCTGAAGTGTAATGTAGTGGCCCTTGAGTAGCTAAGCTGGGAACTCATTGGGTGGGCAGTGACATTTGTCCTTCCAAACTTGTCAAGTTTGCAACAGAATTCGCTTTGTACAAGACTACAAGAAGATTAGTAGTCATGAACGCTTATTGAAGTTTGATCACCGAACAAGTTTGAAAATGAAAAATCAAAGGGAAATGGAATTCATTTTACAATGTACATTATTTGGTGAATAGCTTAATCGGAAATTAGTTGGGGGTTGACTACATAAATAATCCATTCCGCTTCATTTGGACCTGTTCCATTCCAATATTCATTAGTTTGGGTTCTCATTTGTTTGGTAACTGAAGTCAATATTTGATAACATATCTTGAGGTTTATTCAATTTCCTATTCGGTGTTGAGTTTTTTAAAAAACTCTGATGAAGTACTGGCACTAATGTCTCCGAGTAGGCATGTTCATTTCTATGGAGCCACATCGCCACAATAAATAGAGTGCTAACTCCCACCAACATGATATTATGCTTTATAAATGTCTCATTTTTTTGTCACTTTCCCAAGAATTGGATCTCCAATTGGAACAACGGCCCAGATCAACTCCTGTTTTCCAACTATTTTGAAGAATTTGTCACCATAATTAGTTGTCTCTCGGTAGTTGAAGATTGTCGTATTTGTTCATGATGACAAAAACTCACTATTGTTAGACTGTGAAAAACTTTGAAAGGTATTAAGTACTTGATCGTTTGTCTTTCTTCAGCTTACCAGGTCAAAGGTGGCAGCCCGGAGCTCTTTATTGCAGTTATCTGGTCGTTTGCAGCTCGTAATGGCACAGGTTGGTTACTTGAATAGTAAAAGAAATTTGGCAGTACAGTACATGTTCTCACACGAACCCTTGTCTGTTCTTACTTTTCATATCGAGAAGGCTGATAATAGGAAAAGCCCCGCACTAACACTCGAGGGGCGGATGGATGAAAGTGAGGATGATGAGGTAGATGAAGTTATGTATGGCATCGATGAAGAATCTCAAACAAGCAGTGACCGAGATGACTAGGACTTTTTGCCGCTTTGGTAAGTGATGTTATTTCGTGGATGGGGCAGGTGCTTTTATTACAAGGGAATCTCGGGGTCAGTTTTGGTAGGTGTTTGGGCCTTGGGGTCTTAAACGACAAGTGCAAGGAGATTTAATTATCTAGTTTGGCATGGGGATAGAGGGATAAATGTCTCTACTCTCCTTCTCAGACCCTTCCTCATTGGTATGCTTTAAGTTGATAAATCTGTTGTTATGTGAGCTTCTTCCTTAATTGGTTTTGGTGTTAAAAGTTAATACCTTACCCTCCAGTTGAATTTGTGAGGTTAGTACTCTAATCCTCAATCTATTGTGTCTAATTATCGTTCATAATTGTGAGACTAAAGGAAAAATGCAGTTCAACTGCATCTCTATCTGCTCATGGTGGATCATAGCAAATTTCAGCTGCCTTCAATTGTCTGATCCGAAAAGATGCTACTTCCTACTTGTCTAGTTGCATCATTCCCCTGACCTGTCTAGGGAGATCTTCATACCTTGTGTAAATATCATATAACTATAATATTTTTTTTACTAAAGTCATATAGCTTTATTTTCTCATACCAAAGTCTTAAAATTTTCACTACTTTACTCACAAAGTCATAGTTACCGGAAAAGACAATTCTCCGGTAATTTTTTCGTATTCTACCAATTTTTATTTTAAATTCAGTCTAATAAATTATGACTCAATTAAAATATGACCCTATCCGACCCGATATCCACATCCACAAATTAAACATCCCCCAAATCTGATACTTAGTTCTTTCTCAAGCATCTTTTAGGGCTCTCAAGCAAGGATCAGCAAAATACATACTACTATCTCAATTCTCTTCTCAAGCAACGGTGTTTCGAGGCTCTCAAGCACTGGTCTTTCAGGGCTCTCAAGCCAAAAAGATGGCTTCCTCTCCATCTCAGAGGAGTACTTTAAGGGACAACCATAATACTTTTGCTGCACTTAGTGACCACACAAATGCTTTTGCTGCACTAGGAATGACTCCAAAAGAGGTAAAAATTATTATTTTTTGTTTGTGTTGCCTTTGTTAGTTTGAATTTTAGTTGGTGACCCTGATTATGGGGTAGGGTTTTTGCTTTATTTTAGAATTTTTGTATATTGTGACAATGAGTGTGGGCTAGGGATTATCTTTATTTTAGTGTTATTTTGTATATTTGGATACTGATTATGGGCTAGGATTTTTTGATATTTATCGATTTTTATTTTTGTGCTTTTAAATTGCATTTATGTCTAGGGTTCAAGTATCGATTTGAGTCTCCTGTTCAATGAAAGCTCTGAAGCTGGTGTGTTGCATTTATTTGCAATGCGTTCGTTGTTATCAATCGCTTCTGCTGTTGGTAAACCTATTGCCATTGATAAAGCGACACAACTTAAATCCAGACCAAGCACAGCGAAGGTAAAGGTAATCTTAGACCTAATGAACAAGCATCCCAAGCGTGTGAGGATCCAAAGCTTGGATACAATCTCTGGAAAAATCATTGAAGTGTTTTAGGAAATTGTTTATGACAATATGCCTTTGTACTGTAACTGTTGCAAACACCAGGGCCACGACGAGAAAACATGTCGATATATATCGAAAAAGACTCACAACCCAGCTGCGATTGATGAACTTGAAGTTTTTCAAGAACAAACTACTGGGGAAAAGTACACTGGTGATTTACGTCAACTTCTGAATGAGAAGAGGGGAGTGAATGAAGGGGATCGATTTGCTGGAGAACAAAATAGTTTGGCGAAAAAGAAAATGGGTGAAAATCAAACTGGGATTCATGAACATGGTGAAAGTTCAGTCAAGATATCACATATATGTGGCGTTCCTAGTACTACTGTAGTGCATGTTGAAGCAGCTAATACTTTAGTGAATAATGCTGTTTTGAATGCAACTTGGGATCGAGCTGCAGTAGTGGAAGCAGTGGAGAAATCAAACGTGCAAAAACTGAGTGATGCTTCAAAATTTGATATAAATCCTGGGCTACAGGGAGGTGTTGAGCTAAATAAAGTTTCAGCTGTTATTACTTCTAAGGATGAAAAACGACCAGTTCATGTAGGCTCACAATTGGAGGGTAAGCATGCAACAATAGCAGTTGTAGAGCATCATAAAAATGCTGGACAAGAACCAGCTACTGTTGGTTCTAAGCTGGAGGCAACTGTTAATCGACATCCTGTTGGGATTGCTAATCATAACGCTGCAATTGGTGATACAAGGTTGAAGGATATCCCTGCCTCTACAGATTTTACAAGGATGTACTCAGCTACTGCTGGTGCGTTGAAGGCTGCTGCCGATCGAGCGGATACTTCTAACAAGCCTGATATGGTTCAACAGCAGTTTGGAGCATCAGGTACAGCTGTTGATGTACATAAGGAGCAACAAGAACTGGAATGTGTTGGTGTTGAACAAGCTAAACACTCTCCAAAAGGTGTAAGGCAACAACCAGCTGCACACACACTTGCTGATGATCAGCAGAAAACTGCAGAGAAAATCTCTGACAAAACAGCTACTGCCCAGAACTCTGGTAATGAAAACATTGGGACTAAGAGCGTATTGAGGGAAAATCAAAATGGGAAGGTGATCGGGGATGTTAAGAAAGCTGACATGAACAAAAAGGAAGGAGATTGGAGCTTGGTAACAAATAGGAAAACACCCACAAAGAAGTAGGTCTCACCAAAACAATAGAATAAAAATGTTCGAGGAACAGACTTCAATGTTGGTTCTAGCACAAATAATTTCGAGGTTCTTAATGCTGATGGGGACTCTGAAATTGATGCAAAAGGTGTACTTGATAGTGGAATGTCCAAACATTTAGTTCCAACGCCCAGTAATGAACGAGGAGGGCAAGACAGTCACGACTTGGCTGAAAATTTGGGTTTTCGACGAAAAGACTCCAACAACAATTTGGGGAATGAACTTATAGGCATCCAAGCTCACAGTTCCAAAGTTCCTACACTACATTTTTCCAATCCTCAGGTAGAACAAATAATCAAGAATGCTCAGAATGAAATGATGAGGAACTCCACAATGGTTAAACAGCCTTTGGTCACATTAAATACCTCTGTATTTGATGTTCCATCACAATCAGTTGAATCCTATGGCGAGTTTGAAGGTGAAGCTGGGCAGCTTATTCTGTCAACTGGAAACAATGATGAATTTATCCAAGCAAAGGTGATCAAATCTAAACTTTGGTTACAACAACGTGAAGAGGATGACGAAGACGAGGATTGGGGTGATGGTCATGCAGGGTATTCATCTGAAGAAGCTGATCAGGAGGTCGATCAAGAGAGTGCAGGTGAAGATCTTGACTGTCTAGCAATGGCAAAATATGATGAGGGACCAACAGCAAGTCATAGGAGCAAATTGAACATCAATGCTCCAATTTTTTTGCCCAGAAATTCTCCAACTGGAAGCTTGAAGCGAACTGCAGCAACGCATACAAAGCAATTAGTCCCAACTGCAATTGATCAAACAGTAGCTGCAATTGATCAAACAGTAGCTACAATAAAATCTGGGCAACAACATACTGTAACAGATAATCCAATCTTCGATGCAATGGAGCAACAGCTTAATCAAAATGATCCAGTTATTAAACCTACCGTTGATCGTCCATCAACAGTAACAACAATTTCTGGGCAGCAACAAATTGTGACAACCACTCCTACTATTACACCAGCGGAAAGAAAGCTATTGGATGCAATGGATGGAAACAGTGGTAATTCAAGAACATGTTCAAGACATGCAAAATCAGGTGCGTGTGGGCAGAGATACATATGAAATAGGTGAGGAAGATGATATTCTAAATCAATGCAGGGCAGAGGCAGCAAGAAAAGGTGATTTGTCACCTATGCATAGCGGAAAAAATAGGAAATCTCATACAAGGAAAAATAGTTGGGACGACAAGGTTAGTGATTTTTTAAATGTTAGGCGACTTCCAATGAGAGTTACCAAACAAAAGAAGGCCGCCCAACTACATCTACAAAGTCCAATCGTTCAAAAAAGAAATCATGAATTTTGAATACATCTTGAAGAATTGGGATTGGGATGAAAAAGAGTTACAAATTANATGAAAAAGAGTTACAAATTGAAGAAATTACAAGTTCGGACAAGAAGGGACAACATTTTAATTCCTTCATCATTTTATTCTACCATTATATTAGTATTCTCATTTGTAATATCATCACAGAGTATGTTATAAACTCTGTGATGATCATTGAATATTTGGTACTTTCCAGTTCTTATTTTTTACATGCATGCTAGTAGGTGAGGCTATTTAAAGCCTCAATAGGAATAGTAAGGTAAGGTTTAGCCAGGTTTGTGTTACCTTGGTCCTATGCCTTTGGAAAATATCCACACGACTATGAGATTATATGCCCTCGTGAGACTTTGCCGGCAGCTACCCCATGAATCCTCTACATGAGGCTGCCATCATAAGGCAATGTGAGGCGCAGAGGAGTGATTATATAGCCAAGACATATGGGTAATAAAACCCGTGCTATTGTCCCCCTTATTTGTACTTTTCCGAATTGTTGTATTTTCTTTTCTCTTATTAATAAAAAACTAGCCCTAGGCGCTTGCCTAGCGGATTGCCAAAAGAAAAAAGAAAAAAAAAAGAAATATCGAATTTGGGGGATGTTTTAATTTGTGGATATCGGGTCGGGTAGGATTGGGTCATGCATATTTTAATTGAGTCATAATATATTAGACTGAATTTAAAAAATAAAAAAAGGGTAGAATGCGAAAAAATTACCGGAGAATTGTCGTTGCTGGTAACTATGACTTTTTGAGTGAAGCAGTGAAGGTTTTATGACATTTATGTGAGAAAACAAAGTTATATGAATTTTGGTGAAAAAATATCATAGTTATATGACCATTTGTGAAATTTACTGTGTTCAAACCGAATTGAAAAATCGCACCAATCCGAAAAATCAAACCAAACCGATTGAAAAACCCGACTAGATTTGGTTTGACTTGGTTTGGTATTGAGTAGAAAAATCGAACCAAACCGACATAAATATTTAATGTTTATATATATTTTTAAGACTTTATATTGAATTTTCTTTAAAAGATATAGAAATATTTTGGATCATATCATGTGTTAACCATGAAAGCATACATTAACGGAAAATTATTGTTAGACGACTAAGAAAATAACTATCATGTGTCACTAAAAGAATTCTCATTGGAATATTTTAATATATCATGTTGGTCAATTTTTTCAATATTTACTAAACATATATTCATTTATCGCTCCAGACCCCACTTGTGGGATTATACTGGGTCGTTGTTGTTGTTGTATATTCACTTATCAAAACTATATCTATATCTTTAACAAAGTAAGATTGAAATAATATTCATTAATAAAAAAAATACCCGAAAAAACCAACAAAATCGAACCTATCCAAATATAGTTGGTTTGGTTTGGTTTTGATAAAAACCTAACCAACCTGGCCATGTACACCCGTAAGCTCAATGATGCTAGTTTGTCTCATTCCCACCAAGTCGATGCCGAATTCTTATATCTATCAAAACTTATAAACTAATATATTGACAAGGAAATCCCGTGGTCAGAAAGTACTTTGCTGTGAATAAATTGAATGCCAAATTAAATATGTCTGACGTAACTAAGAATCAAACTTCAAAGTAAATTACAACACATGTACTAAAAGCACAAAGAATCATATATCTGCAAAAACTTACCTCTAGATGATCAAGAAAGAGTAATATAATATCATACGTTAAAAATTTTCTAAACAGGGGAATAAGCAATAGTGCAAAAGTAGTAAAATGACTATGACATTCAATTAATCTGATTCATAATGAAATTTTAAAAGAAGTCTTTATCACAAAATTGAATGAGAAATCAAAGCAATACATTAATAGAAGCTACTGTTGGGCTTTTAAGCTTGGTGTAGCTTGAAGAAGATGAATGAGAAATGGAGGGAGAATGAAATATTTGAGTTTCTCTCCTTGGCAAAGGGACAATGTCCCATATATAAGAAGATGATGATTTTCATAACATTGAACAACCATAAAAAATACATAGCTGAAGAGGGTCACCGATCTTTAATGAGGTAGAACCCCATACATCTGTTGTGGTGAGACTAACTATATGAATTGAGGATATGAGTTTCCTTGCTTCCTCCTTCGGGGAGAGAGAGATGAAGATCCCTCCTCTCAAAGGGCATGTATGTGTGTGGATTTTTTTTCCGCCCCCTTTTCTTCTCCTTCTCACTTATTTTATACACTAGGTCTTCTCCTTTACCCAACGGTCATAAACCATGATACTTAAGTCGTTTGACGGTATTACGGGTTGACCCCTTGAAATGCTGTAACATCCAATTCGCCTCCCAAGCGTTCTGCATACATGGCCGAGGTGCGTGTCGTTATAGCGTTGTATGGATACGGCTGCCTCAAGTAACTTTTTACCTTCCCTTTCCATGCCGATTCTCGTTTGGTCAGATTTTGACCCATACATGAACCAAATTAATATAAAAATTCGCCAAACATAATTGGACGAGAGGAATATGAAAAAAGATTTATTAAAGCAAGGTTGACAAAATCTGATGCCTGATCCCCATGTATCCATATTGACCAAATCTATAAGACTACAATCCAAGTAGGATAAAGCAAATTGGCAACAATTGCTCAGCTCACGTTATGTGAATAGTAAAGAGGTTGAGTGTTCCCTTCAATAGGTTCAATTTGCATAGTACAAGCTTCTTAACAAAGTCTTAAAAAAAAAGTTGGGTGTTCACTTTTATTGATTTGACTTCATTTTACTCAATATCAAAGAATTACTTGTGCACCGATTTTCTCTTGTTGAAAAATTAACTAGGTGAAAGTCAATTTTCACGCAGGACAGTATGGTGCGCAAGATATTTTGCATTCACGCGGGGTCCGAAGAAGGGTCGTTCCCCAAGGAGTGTGATGTAGACAGTTTACCTTAATGCAAGCATTATTGGCTGCTTCCATAGCTCGAACCTATAATCTATAGGTCAAATAGAAATAATTTTACTGTTGCTTCAAAACTCCCTTCTATGTCACATTATTTTAGTAGGATTAATCAAAAGCACTTTCACTTTAACCTAACACTCATTGTTTGGTGGGGGGAGGGTGCAAAAAAGGTCCATCCTTACAGAGGCGAAGCCATAATTTGAAGCTTATGGATTTGAGATTCTAATTCTTTTAAGTTTTGGTTCTAAATTAATAATTTATACAGATTTTTCATACAAATATAAAATTTTTACCAAAGTTACTAAGTTTGTCCGAAGCCGTAGACGAAGAGCTAGCTCCGCCCTGCCTCCTTATGACTTCCACGATAGACACCTTTCAAGCTAAAACTATTGTTGAGTGCATAACTGCGTTATACAGTCATACCTCTCTATAACAATATTCCCATATAACAATCATTTATTATAAATGTCAAGTTTTTTTTTGAAGCCGATTATTATGTTATATTATAATATATGTCCTCTGTAACAATACTTCACTATAGTAACAAAAAAATATAAGAACAAATAAGTCTGTTATAGAGAAGTTTGATTGTATTTGAATTCAATTTGTTAACAAATTACACATCAAAAGATCACTGAAATGCAATGTGAAGAATAAGGTAAAAATACTAAGGTAAAAAAGTTCCCATCAACCTAAACCAAACTTTGTTCACAATTGGTGAATTTCCTTTGGGGT